GGATTTTATGAAAATTTTCAGCTACAGTCCGCAACTGAAAATGTTATTTATAAGAATGCCTCACACGTGATTCATCGTTTTATTAAGTCTCATTCATTCCATGAAAATTGCTTGTCCATTTGAAGCGGTCGTAGTATCAAATGTACATTGTACATGTGCACGATTCGCATCATAAATGTTTTATAATAGCCCATATTCAGCTACTTCCTGAACACATTTGATGGGAATAGTTTAATGTATGGCTTTACTTGTTTTCGGCTAATTCAAAAATTGATTGTATGTATGTATGTATGTATGTGCGGCAACGGATTATTAAAATCTGATGAGTTTAAAAATGTGTTTGTTTGTTGCAAAAAGTTGCACTTAATATAAATACTTGTTCACTCAATTTAAATGTTTTTGTAAATAAGTGATCATGCTTGTAAGAGTGCTTTACAAATGAGTGAACACTCACATGTTATTTTTATGTTAACATTTTTACTTATTGCCGCAGGACAGATTGTAAACAAATAAAAGGAGTTAATAAAAAAATATATAAATACAATTCAATCAAACTGTCTTGTTAATATAAATACTTGATTTCGCTTGATTTAGAAAAATCGTCATTTAGCTTGATAAACATTAATTTTCTTAGAAATGTTTTTCGGACAATAAACACCAACACACGAAAAATCGTCCCTCGAATTGGAAATCCTCGTCATTTAATTGTTGTTTCTCAAACGATCTAGAATATTGCCCGCCCCCAAACTTCCGAATGAATTTCCACTTGGCGCGTCATTTTTATTAATGAAATCTGGTGTGCATAGCTTGTTTTTCCTATTTAAGTCTTGTTGTTTGTCATATTTACCGTGACGGAGATATAGTAGGTCATTTTGTTTCAATTGGGAATGATTCCAAATTAATAAAGCATGTACGAGTAGGTGCATCAAACAGTGTTTGGGTGTATTAGTTAGTCAGATGGTAAAGCATTTCACCTATTGAGATTCTAGAATGTTTAGATGGTTGTACTATATTAGCAACAAGCCGAAAACTATTCAAAGTTCCGTGTTGGACGTTTTTTTTTGCAGTGATCAATTGAGAAAAAAATTACATACAGACTAAACGAGACAAATACACTGATTTAAAAATAAGCACATTTGGAATGGAACGAATTTATTCTCTAGGAATTGAAGGCAAAAGTTTAAAAAATGTTTTCATCAAAATTTTATTTGAAGCATGTTTTGTTCGTATCATTGAGAACCATCGCGAATCGAAAAGATTTGAAATAATACTTCAAAGAGCTACTTTTTATCAATGAAAATATTACCTGTTCTTCAAACAAGGTGCGATTTTTAATTMARYACAKYYWGYTTATTAAACAAGCYATCAGCATCCTCATATACAGRGTGATTCAATTTTGGCGTCATTTCYCTTGAGGTGTTGTTTGGTGGTGTTTTAGAAGTACAGAAAAAATTGTAAAAAAAWTAATGGTTATTAAAACTGAGAAATTTGCAAAAAACTATATCAGAAAGACGGCAACAATGTTTTTCAAGGTAATCTGTCTAATTAACATTACGTAAACACCTGTTGCTTTAGATAAGTTCGATATTGTTGAGGCGGATTCATTTTTTACAAACTTTTTTTTGGGTATTTCGCCTCAAAAATTTTTATCTTAAAAAAAACCTGTTGCTTTGTAATTATGAAAATTGTGGTAACCATGGAATTGTACAGAAATTGACAATAAAATAGACAAGGATTAACGTTATATACGACAGGATTGGTTAAATGTCGAAACGTAGTTTTTCGAAATGTCAGTTACTGTCCGTATAACCTCGAATTGATGTTTAAAATTAACTAATAAATTTGCAGTTAATGTCTAACATTGTTAAGTGGCAAGAAAACAGACAAGTGTACAAAATTGTGAGTAAATGATTAGTGTATGAACCAAAAAAATTAGCTGATTTCATTCACCAAATAAAAAGTTCTGGTAGTTTTTGTACCACGACACTCAAGAATTCACTACTTGTCCAAAACGGCTGATCTCGATTGTTTCATCAAAATATGAGTCTTACATAAAAAAAATCACAGTGAGTTTCACCAAAATACATCGTACCAACCTACAGATGTTTCAAAAAAGTTTTTTTTTGGAGGTCTTTGTCCATCAATAGCAGAAGAGCCAGACATTTTTTCTTAATAAAAGTCAGGTCAGATCGTGTCTTCTTTTGATCCAAAGAATATCGCAATACCCTTTTGACCATGAGCTTACAGGACACCCTGTACAACGGCTTCAAAGTGCCTAAAGGTCTAAAACGGAACTGCTGACTATCTGCCGTACTACTCAATATGCAAGTAGATGAAGCTCTCAGATAATGGGTAAGAAAGTGTTAGAAAGTGGGACTGCATATCGGAAATACCTCATAGGCATTGTATTCTTTCCGCAGATGACCAGGACAAGGAAGACCTAAAGTTTATGTCCAGAAAGCTTGTAGAAGAATTAAAAAAATTGCGACCAGAGGTAAATTTAAACAAACCCCAAAATCTGTTTATAGGGGAACCACCAGCAAACCTGGACCTAGACCATCAAGAATAAGAAATAATGATGAATGCATATAACTGATAATAAAAATGACGCAGCCAAGACAAACTGAAGAAGTTCGAAGAAGAAGAAGTCAAAGAAATGGTAGGAGCACTAAACGCAATATTACGGCAGAAAAACACAAGTCCAGAGGCAAAGACAAGATCTGATTTGTTATCTATGGCTCAGAGGTGTGGCAATTAATGCAAAACTTTAATAACAATTTATTAGCAGTTGAAATACAAATGGCATGCCACATTAACATAGCAGAAGCTATAATAACTTACATCAACAAAATGCTAGAGACACTGGACGATTGACTGCAGGAATTGAGGCAGATAGTGGACGACCAAGAGCTGTTGGGTTCCAGACATAGAGGAAAATGCATCGGATATAATTGCAGCAGAGATTTTCAGAAGTACTCGGAGCAATGCACAACAACTAATATTGTAGATAAGTTCTATATTGTTGAGGCGGATTCATTTTTTTACAAACTTCTTTATGGGTATTTCCCCTCAAAAATGTTTGTCTTTAAAAAAGACAGAATTTCCTCACGTCTTTTATTACAGATTGATAAATAGTGCTCCTATTTCGCAATAAGAACGAAT